TTACGTCTATCAAGGTGTTCCCTGGAGTTCCCTTGACCGCTTCATTAGGGTTTACTTCATCGTTTCATGCCCTGCTGAAGTGTTTGGGGGAACTCTTGGACTCACTTTGAAATTTTACTCAAACAAATAAAATTGTTGGAGTGCTGGTTGTGGATGATGAACGAAATAGTTCACGTATAAATCTATCAAGGTGTTCCCTAGAGTTCCCTTGACCACTTCATGAGGGCTTACTTTGATGTTAGAAGCCTTGCTGAAGTGTTTGTGGGAACTCCTGTATTGACTTTGAAAATTACGCAAACAATTATATATAAATGCATGAGTACGTATTAGCTAGAGATGATGAATATAATATTAATTCGCGTATAAATCTTCCTGTGGAGTTCCCTTTGACCACTTCATGAGAGCTTATTATTTCATTGTTTGAAGTCTTGCTAAAGTGTTTGAGCGAACATTCGGATCCACTTTGAAAATTACAAAAACAATTAATTAAAGTCATGAAAATTGGACGTTAATTTTTGTTCTTTAATTACCTAGAGCTTTGTTTTAGCCGTATAATTATCCATTTTGAGCTACATTGTATACTCATTGGAATAAAGCTTGTAGCTATTAATAACTGATTTGGATGTAATTGTGCTAAATTTTATTGGATTTGTTTGATGTGTTGACACTTTGTTTAATTTATTCCAGATAAAAATGCTGTAATATTTGAAAAATATTTTTTATGATTGGAGCCCGACTAATTAGATTCTTGCTAGGAGTGTACATGGATTGAGTTTGTTCGAATTTCTTAAAATAGCAAATCATATCATTTATATTATGTTTTAAAATCCACTAACCAAACTAATAGATTCATGTTTTTTAACCTCGATTTTTTCAGATTTTTTCAAGTAAAGTGTTCATACTAATATGTAATTAATTTGTATTTCAAATATTTTTTTAATTTTTTTAAAATATAATTATCTGAGGTGATTTATAAGAAAATAACACAAAATATAATATGACTGATAAACTAAAAAATTCAAGAAAAATAACAATTAAATCACATAAAACAGATATTGCAAATAAATAAGTCAAAAGGAAAATGATTATAATTTTAAAGTATAAATCATGCCAAATTAAGTGTAAACCAATATATAACTAAAGAACAAATATTCAACATTATTGTCATTCTTAATATTTGAGTTTTTTTTTGGTTAGCAATAGTATTTGTTTGATTTTTATTTGAGCTTTGTTAGAATTACTAATATCTATGGAATATAACCTTTATTGAACTATTCAAAATTTTAAGTCAAATTTAAAATAATATGTTAAAAAACAAAAAAAATAAAAATGTGGAAGAAATATTTATAAATAATCTCAAAGCTAAGTAAATATTGCTATGTACAAAATAATGTTTAAAAATTATATATATAATATCGGGTTGATTTTAGTGGCATCTCAAATCGCTGCTAAAATGTAGTGGCAAAACAAGTTGCTGCTTATACCTTTAAAGGTCGCCACTAAAAGTTTGTTTTAGTGTCAAATTGTGTCGCTGCTAATACCTATTATAGTTAAAACCAACCCAAGCCAATATAGTCGGGTTTTTCTTTTCTTCAATATATATCAAACTAGCTAAGTCAAACTAAAATGACTAGTTGAAATTTTTTTGGGTTTGATTTGGTGCAATTTTCAGTTCGATTTTGTTTATCCCTAATTTTCGTTGTGTAGAGTTCCATTTGAAAGGAGGACAACGCTTCCTAGTAAAGATTTTCTCCTTCTACTAAAGAGAGGAGTAAGGGAAAAAATATTATAAAAAAATAAATTAAGAGAGGCTTTTGTAATTCTTGAAAATATGAGGAGGTAAATAGGATAAGCTTTACTTTTTTTTTTTCACCCGGGGTCCAGTACTCTAATTGGAGTCAAATTATATTGAATTCAAGCCGAGAAGTCCCACATTTGAGGGGTTGGGGATAAAGGGCTCCCTAATAAAAATGACTCTAACTCCCGATTTCTTAGTAAAAATTAACATATGTTTCATGTTAATTTCATAGAAAATTGGCTAGAAAAAAAAATAATAGTTGCCCAATTTGTGTTACCAATGTTAATGACCTAGAAACTAAATTGTATATATGACATTGAACTTTAAAGGTTAGCTTATTGAATAATAATTATCATATCCACCACATAGATTGAATATTTAAACATGCTTAGGTTGTTGTTAATGGAAAATCTCTCAGGGCTGAAGTTCGACGTTTAGCTTTTTGATTGTTAAGTTATAGTATGATTGAGTAACATCTAATCGTTTCATTCCTTTTGATTTGCACTACATTGACTTTTAAGTAACCCTCAAGAGCATCATGTAGTGTTTTTTTTGCTATGCTTATCTAGATTAACATTTTTTTTCATGTTTTTTTTTGTTTCTAGACTATTATATATGTATTATGTAGTGTTTTCGACTATTGAATAATATTATGCATTTTTTTGTAATACAATGGACTGATATATAAATAATCAATAAAAAATATTCGAGCTTTTTCGTCTTTAATCATTTTTTAGAGCACACTAACAAAAACTCTTGACACAATCTTAGTTCTTTTGAGTAATATTTGCACCTGATGAATCACACATTTTTTTTTCTTCAAATCATGATGTTTCGATTTATTTTATTTATGTGAACACAAGTGTATCCTAAAACACCATAACTATTCGTCACATAAATATTTTTGTGATTTAATTTCTTATTATTTAATCAGATTCATATTTATAACTATTAGCCAAATAATTATTTTTGTGATTTAATTTCTTATTGTTTAACTAGATTCATATTTATAACTATTAGTCAAATAATAATTATTATACTTTAATTTTCTATTATTTGACCGGATTCATATTTATCACTCTACCAATATTCGGCAAATATAGACTTTATGATTTGATTCTTATTATTTGACCAGATTCATATTTATTACTTGATGAATAAGTAACTAATACTTAATTAAAATAAGGTACCAAATTTTAAATGACACTAATAATATGACAAGAAAATTTATGGCAAGTGGTTGATAGACCACATCAGAACCACATCGGAATTATGAGTTAATAGACAATTTTTTGTTATATATATATACATATATATTTGACAAACATTGATTATATATCATCTAACAAAGAAAATACTGAAGATGATGAGGAAGATAATGTCGATGTTGGTAATGTTGATTTTGTTTTCTAAAAAATATAATTATGGAGATTATAAGGGTGATGGCGATGACGATGTTGATGGTGATGATAATAATATTTGAGATTCTAGAGATGATGAAACATATAATTATTTCTTAAATCTCCAATATCATCAGCATCATCGTCATCATTGCCTGTATTGTTTTCATCATTATTTTTTTAGAAGACATAAAATTAAGATCTCCATCACCGTTATTATTATCTTCATCATTATCTACGTTATTTCCTTTGTGTGTCATATAATCACAACCCCCCCCCCCTCCCCCAAATCTTTATTTTCATTTTTATCATATATTTTGTTCAAAAGTCTAGTAATCTTCCTCATCACTAAAATCATCATGTTTCTTGTAATAGTCATTATATATACTTGTCATCAATCGGTCCAAAATGATTTTATAAGAAAATACTTTTCTCTATAATTTTAACTGTTATTTTGAGAACTGTGGTCATTTACTCTATTTCTAATCTTGAAAAAAAAATCATAGCTCAAAATGTATAAGATCTAGAATCATCAAATCTCAAGGTTTCACAATGGAATCTCAAAATTTTAATAATCTAGAAAAGACTTATCAAACTATACACGATCAATTAAGAAATTATCAAGTTCTATTGATCTTCGAATTCAAAGTAATTGTTGTGAGTTGATCGAACTAATTGATGAGTTGAAAGTGTAAGATACATAATTATTTTTGAAAGTATAGGTAGAATTTAGTATGTATGGTATAGAACGTCTGTCTAATAAAGTAGTTTTTCCGTAATCATTTTTCTAGTAGATCTAAATTAAAACTAAACCCCAATTAATATAAATATTATATAAACTACTTATATTAATCATTATTATTTCTTAAGAAACGTGCGCAAACTTAATGGAGGAGTAATTATGAATACAACATATATTCCTTTGGAACAAACAATTAGGCTGATAATGCTAAGAATATATATACCCCTTGAGATTATAATATTGAACCTGGTCATCATTATTATCCAAGTGAAGGCAAATATGAATACAAATGGTATATTGTCCATCTGGAATATATTTATAGAAATATACACCCCCTCCGTGGCACAAGAGTTAAAAGTATTTAAAAATCGCGATATGAATATGTATATGATTTTTTAAATATATTTAAAAGTAATTTGACATATATAAAAATTATGAAAAAATCAATTAATAATAATAATAATCGGATTAAAGAAAATACAAATGAAAAACTACTAAGTTGAACAAATTTTAAATATCAAAAGTTAAAACATTGGTATAAGAATTAGCACTTGAAGCCACTATCCAAACTTTGAAGACATGAAAAGAGAAAAAAAGAAGAAAAAGTACAAAATGAGATGAAAAGACAAGAAGGAATTACTTTTTTCATGATATATTTTCAAACTTTAATATTACCCATATTTGTTGCTACATTCAATATAGTGTCACCCCTTAACCTAGTTCAAACCCTACTTTCACATTTGGGATGGAATTTTCTTATAAAAACAATGTTATAAATAGAATAATGTATGGTGTAACAACATCAAACAAACAAGTAGAAATGCAAGAGTATACTACTAATTAGTTGGATCGGAGATGATGAACAAAAATGGGTTTTAAGTCTATCAAGGTGTTTCCTAGAGTTCCCTTGATCACTTCATTAGGGATTACTTCATTGTTTGATGTCCTGCTGAAGTGTTTGGGGAAACTCTTGGACTCACTTTGAAATTTTACACAAACAAATAGAAGTGTAGGAGTCCTGGCTGTGGATGATGAACATGATAGTTCATGTATAAATCTATTAAGGTGTTCCCTAGAGTTCCCTTGACCACTTCATGAGGGCTTACTTTGATGTTAGAAGCGTTGCTGAAGTGTTTGGGGGAACTCCTGGGTTGACTTTAAAAATTACGTAAACAAGTATATATAAATGCATGAGTTCGTACTAGCTAGAGATGATGAATACAAAGATTATATATTTATTGTGGGGTTGGCTTTTGTAGCATCTCAAATATCTACTAATAGCGATAATAGTCGCCACTAAAAGTGTGTTTTTAGTGGCGCCGCATAAAATACCTATAATAGTCACCACCACAAGTCTGCTTAGTGTCATCTTTAGTCGCTGCTAATACCAATAATAGTCGCCACAAAAATTGTGTTAGTGGCAACACAATCGATGTCGCCACAAAAAGTGTACTTTCATGGCAGCTCACGTCGCTGCTATAACTTAATAGTTGCCACTACAATTATGTTTAGGAAACAAAAATTGCTTCTATTACCTACAAATAGTCGCCATTAAAAGTGTTTTCAAATCTATTGAATAATATTATGCAAATATTTTGGTAATATATTCGAGTCATATATAAATAATCAATAAAAATTGTTTGAGCTTTTTCTTCTTTAATGATTTTTTAGAGCACACTAATCAAAACTCTTTGACACAATTCTTAGTTCTTGTGAAGTAATTGCACCTGATGAATCACACATTTTATTTTTAATATTATTTTCAATCTATTTTATTTAAATAATATTATTTTTTCAATCAGCCCCTTTTTATTGAACAAAAGCATATCCTAAAACGCTATAAATATTTGTCAAATAATGACTTTTTGTGATTTAACTTCTTATTATTATAACTATTAGTCAAATAATTATTTTTATGATTTAATTTCCTATGATTTGACCAGATTCATATTTATCACTCTACCAATATTCATCAAACATAGACTTTCTGATTTATTTTCTTATTATTTGACTAGATTAATATTTATTACTTGATGAATAAGTATCTAAGATTACTTAATTAAAATTTTAAATGATACTAATAATATGACAAGAAAATTTATGGCAAGTGGTTGATAGACAACATCAGAACCACATCAGAATTATGAGTTCATAGACAATTTTTTGTTATATATATATATACATATATTTGACAAAAAATGATTATATATCATCTAACAAAGAAAATACTGTAGATGATGAGGAAGATGATGTCGATGTTGGTAATTTTGATTATGTTTTCTAACAAATATAATTATGGAGATTATAAGGATGATGCCGATGACGATATTGATGGTGATGATAACAATATTTGGGATTCTAGAGATGATGATTATGATGAAATATATAATCATCTCTTAGATCTCCAATATAATCATCAATATCGTCGTCATCACTATCCGTATTGTTTTCATCATTATTTTTTTAGAAGACACAAAATCAAAATTTCCATCACCATTATTATTATCTTCGTCATTATCTACGTTATTTCCTTTGTGAGGCATATAATCACAAAACCCTCCCCCCAAACCTTTATTATCAATTTTATCATTTATTTTGTTCAAAAGTGTAAAATAATAATATCTAGTAATCTTCCTCATCACTAAAATCATCATGTTTCTTGTAATAATCATTATATATACTTGTCATCAATCGGTCCAAAATGATTTTATAAGAAAATATTTTTCTCTATAATTTTAACTGTTATTTTGAGAACTATGGTCATTTACTCTATTTCTAAACTTGAAAAAAAAAATCATAGCTCAAAATGTAAAAGATCTAGAATCATCAACCTCAACATGTTAAACAATGGAATCTCAAAATTTTAAGAATCTAGAAAAGATTTATCAAACTATACATGACCAATTAAGAAATTATCAAGTTTTATTAATCTTCGAATTCAAAGTAATTGTTGATGAGTTGATCGAACTAATTGATGAGTTGAAAGTTTAAGATACATAATTATTTTTGAAAGTATAGGTAGAATTAAGTATATATGGTATAGATCGTCTGTCTAATAAAGTAGTTTTTCCAGTAATTATTTCTCTAGTAGATCTAAATTAAAACTAAACCTCAATTAATATAAATATTATATAAACTACTTATATTAATTATTATTATTTCTTAAGAAACGTGCGCAAACTTGACGGAGTAATAATTATGAATACAAGAAAAATATTCCTTTGGAACAAACAATTAGGCTGATAATGCTAAGAATATATATACTCCTTGAGATTTTAATATTGAACCTGGTCTTCATTGTTATCCAAGTATAGGCAAATATGAATACAAATGGTAAAGAGAGAACATTCCATGCACAAATAAAATTAACTCATGAACGTTATTTTATTTTTGTTGACACTTTTTTATTTATTAATCATAAAGCAAAGTGTCCATCGCACAAGAGTTAAAATATTTAAAAATCGCAATGTGAATTTGTATATGATTCTTTAAATGCATTTTAAAGTAATTTGATATATATAAAAAATTATGAAAAATCAAATAATAATAATAATAATAATCGGATTAAAGAAAATACAAATGAAAAACCACTAAGTTGAACAAATTCTAAATATCATAAGTTAAAACTTTGGTATAAGAATTAGCAAGTTAAGCCACTATCCAAACTTTGAAGACATGAAAAGAAAAAAAAAAGAAAAAGTACAATAGAGATAAAAAGACAAAGAAGGAATTACTTTTTTCCTTCATATATTCTCAAACTCTAATATTACCCATATTGGTAGCCACATTCAATATAGTGTCAACCCATATCCTAGTCCAAACCTCACTTTCACATTTATGATGGAATTTTCTTATGAAAAACAATGTTATAAATAGAATTGTATGTTGTGACAATATTAAACATACAATGTAGGAATACAAGAGTACTACTAGCTAGCTAGGTGGAGATGATGAACAAAAATGGTTTTCAAGTCTATCAAGGTGTTCCCTAGAGTTCCCTTGACCGCTTCATTAGGGCTTACTTCACTGTTTGATGCTCTACTGAAGTGTTTGGGGGAACTCCTGGGCTCGCTTTGAAATTTTGCACAAACAAATAGAAGTGTGAGAGCACTGATTGTGGATAATAAACACAATATTTTACGAATAAATCTATCAAGGTGTTTCCTAGAGTTCCCTTGATCACTTCATGATGGCTTACTTTGTTGTTTGAAGCCTTACTGAAGTGTTTGGGGGAACTCCCGGATTCACTTTGAAAATTACGCAAACAAGTAGAAGTGCAAGAGTATGTACTAGAGATGATAAATACAATGGTTAAAGCACTAGTATTTCTATACAATTAAAGTCATGAATATTCGATGTTAACATATCGTAATTGTATTTTAATCACATTAAACATATATTTTCTATTCCAAAATTCAATTTCTTTTTTTAAGTATATATTGAAATCTTATTATAATTATCAGGTATAAACGTGTAACGCATATTTCCAAAAGCCTCTTAGAGTTTCTATAGCCATAGAAAAAAGATATGTATATTTCCTTTTCATTTAACTCGAGATTAATTAAAAATATAACTAAATTCTAAAAGCTACTGAAAAATAATATATAGATGAAATCATATAAAAGTAGTTTCTTCTAACCTATAATGAAATATAGAAATACATTTGTTGAATGCCTTGAATCGGACCCGCTACAAACAGAAAGGACGGTATACAATGTTGTTGTATTGGGCCCTTTATTTTCTGTTGATTCTGTATGTTGGGCCCAAGCCTGTTAGGGCGTAGCTTAGCACTATATATAGACGCTATGGCAAACCCTATTTTGTAATTCTGTTTTTGCCTCTCCATAATAAAACTGCTCCCCCTCTTCCCGTGGACGTAGCCAATTTATTGGTGAACCACGTAAATCTGTTGTCTTGTTTTTCGCGTTTATATTTTCTCGTATTATCTCAAATTCCGCACAACAAATTGGTATCAGAGCCTCTCGGTTAATCGGTGTTCTTGGAGAATTCGAGATGTCTGCTTTGAACGTGAAAATCGACAAATTCACAGGGAGGAACAGTTTCAGTTTATGGCAGATCAAGATGCGGGCTTTGTTGAAACAGCAAGGCTTCTGGGCGCCGTTGTCGAAAGACAAGAACGCCGTCGTTACTCCTGAGATGGCGATTCTGGAGGAAAAGGCGCACTCGACGATCATGCTGTGTCTCGCGGATGACGTCATCACGGAGGTCTCGGATGAAGAGACTGCTGCTGGTCTGTGGTTGAAGCTGGAGAGTTTGTACATGACAAAATCTCTAACCAACAAGCTGCTTCTGAAACAACGTCTATTCGGTTTACGAATGGCTGAAGGTACACAACTCAGGGAACACTTAGAGCAATTGAATACTTTGTTATTAGAATTGCGTAATATCGATGTGAAGATCGAGGATGAAGATGCTGCCCTGATTCTGTTAGTATCTCTCCCAATGTCGTTTGAGAATTTTGTTCAATCGTTCATTGTTGGGAAAGATACTGTGTCACTGGAAGAAGTCAGATCGGCCCTTCATAGCAGGGAATTACGGCATAAGGCTAACGGCACAAGTACGGACATATAGCCTTCCGGTCTGTTCACCAGTAGCGGAAAGGGAAGGAAAAACGGCGGAAAGAAAAATAAGCTGATGTCGAAGGGTGCAAAGCCGGATGATGTTTGTAATTACTGCAAGGAGAAGGGACATTGGAAATTTGATTGTCCGAAGAAGAAGAAGCAATCGGAAAAACAATCAGTGTCTGCTGCTGTTGCTGAAGAAGACACCAATTCTGAAGAAGATATTGCCCTAGTTGCGGATGAGCACACTCATCATTCAGATGTGTGGGTTCTCGATTCTGGGGCATCCTATCACATCTGTCCTAGGAGAGAGTGGTTCACGACTTATGAGCAGGTAGACGGAGGCAGCATCTCGATGGCCAACAGTTCTGTCTGCAAGGTGGTTGGGACAGGCTCGATCAAGATAAGGACACATGACGGTAGCTTCTGCACATTGAACGAGGTCAGGCACGTTCCATTGATGACGAAAAATCTGATATCTCTCAGTCTTTTGGACAGCAAGGGATTCAGCTGGTCGGGAAAAGATGGAGTCTTGCGGGTCTGGAAGGGTTCAAATTTGATTCTGAAAGGTGTCATGCG